CTTTTCACTATTAACAAGGCATACAAAGTAAAAACGACTAAGATGTGTTCCTTTGATTACAAAACAATTCTGTTCCCCTAGTTTGAAGTAATTCAAACCAGGCTTCGGTGGTAGATCTTAATGCAAGTAACGCACCACGAAAAGGTAATCTACCAAGCGTTACTGTGATTCGCCTTGAGAGCTCCTTTGATTGTTGTCATAATGTCGTAAATCCCTGGTTTTTCGAAGACTAACAATGGAAGTCCAGCTTCTGTCACCATTTTGATGCAGGAGGTCATGTAGAAGTTATGGTCAATCTGCATACCAACTCTTTGTATCTTTTTTCATCGCCCAGGCATGAATCCTCCGTTTCATCTTCGGAGTCAAGACCAAATTCTGAAAACTTTTCCGGGTGCAGGTTTTTGAGATGTCTTTTTTGATTGCTTTTTGATGTCGTTTTCAACATCCTGCTGCATAATTTACATTTTGCTGGTGGCGTTTCAAGGCTTTCGAACTGGTTTAAAATCTTGCTGATGTCTCTATTAATTTCCGTTTAGATGAAGTGATTGTGGGACCGCTGTTGCTGAAATTGTTCTTAAAATAATTCATAATTCATAGCTTAAAATCATACAAACCTTACCCGAGAAAGAACGAATATCTCGATACCTTAAATTGGTATGGATGAGCCTGATATAAGAGGTAAAATACCAAAAAATAATACCAGAAAAATGTTCCCACAATACCATTCCAATACCAAATTTTGCAAATGCGATAACAAAACAATACAACACAGGTATTCTTTTGGTATCCAAATACCATTTTTTTTTGTTATTTACAAAGTATTTTGCATGCAATTTTTTGGTATTATTCTTTGGTATTTTATGTCATGCTTATCAACACCAAATTTTGGTATCATATCAGAATTAGGTATTCATTAGTTATTTTCTCCTGTTCGGGTATGCCTAAATTTTAGCAATTTTGACAGTATTTGTTTTGTGAATTTATTTATCCATGCTTAAGCACTCTATAGACGCGGATGCCGGGGAAATTGTTTTATTAACAGCGTATTTATGTTTCAGAACAGTTTTAGATATACTTATTTCTTCAACATCCTTATACATGTAATATTTACATCATGCTAATATTGTTTTGGTATAAGTTTAAATTTTTCTACACAGTACATCAATGTCATTCGAAAAGTTGCACGCACCGTGCGTAAGTTATGACAACGGAAAAATCTAAACGAAGCGTTTTCTACGTAGACACGAAGCGTTCGTTTCGCCCATTCGATCGGTTCGTTTGCACTCGTTCAGCGCATAGCTCGGTTACTCAGCAACACAAAGGCTTTCGGGGAAATGGCGTTCGGTGAAATGGCATGCGGCCAAGTTTTCCATAGTAAATTTTTTTTCACCCCTCCCTAGCTCGAAACCTGGCTACGCCCTTGCGGTTACGTTCGCAACACGAGAACCGAACGGAGGGTGTGCAACTGTCATCTTTAGGTTCGGTTTATAGGTGCTGAACGAATAGACAGTGCATCACAACCGAACGCAGGGTGCTCGTTCGTTGCTCGCTTTCGCAGCGTAGTTATGCACAAATTTCCATTCGCCTCAACGAGACGTTCATCGCGGACGAGAGCTTATCCACCTTCCAGCTGGACTACAGACGAAAGACCAACTAAAACAGAACTGCAGAACGAGCGAGCAAATACAAGGCTCGCTGGAGATCGAACGACACATGTTCCGATATTTCATGGACCCCTATGCGGCTGGAGAGGCGGGGTAGGTTGGGGAAGAAACATGTATAAACAAGAGAATCGTACCCGAGAACGACGAAATCAGCGATGGCAATGGCAGAGACGATTTGGAAAATGCCATCCGAACATCGCAGAAACGAAAACCGCTAGTACCTACCGATGGCTAGAGTTCTACCTACGAACATTCGACGTCATCTATCCTGCTGTCCTTCGTAATTAATGAGGCTATGACGAATGAGCTCCCCTCGGAATTCACCGATGGCACAATCGTGTTGGTTAAAAAGAGAGGTGGCGATGGGACAGCGAGAGCATACCGTCCCATTAGCCTGCGCAACGTCGATTATAAAATTCTTAGCTGTGTGATGAAGGCCCGTTTGGAACGTGTGCTGCAGATACATCGAGTTCTGAGTGACGCTAAAAAATACGCCAACGCCAACCGCTCTATTTCCCGAGCAGAATACCGAAACAATACCACCCAGGTATTATTTTGGTATCCAAATATCAAGTTTTGGTATTTATAAAGTATTTTGCATGTAATTTTTTGGTATTATTCTTTGGTATTTTACCTCTTATGTCATGCTGGTCAATACCAAATTTTGGTATCAGATCAGAATGAGGTATTCATTAGTTATTTTCTTCTGCTCGGGTTTCCAAGCTGCACTCTGACTCATGGGGTTTTTACACTTATGCTACTTCACTAGCGCTAATGTACTAGCTGCTAGCAAAAAAGCTCACTAACAGGGCATCAGCGTCTACCAGCACGAAATTTCCGGAGCAACTGAAATTCGAGCTAGTTGGCGAGTACACAATAGCAACATCAACATCAATTGTTACTTTTCTCTGAAATTGGAATGGAAACTATGTCTGATACTTTTGTGGGTGTTGAGGTAGTAACGAATTTGTGTGCACTGTCGAAAAATGCTTGTTTCTCTTACATTGCTCACAAGATTTTACGAATTTTGTTACATAATATTTCATCTTTGTTGACCGGACATTCACCGCCTCTGGGATTATCTGCTAGACAGCCAACGTCTCTGAGTTTCATCTTCGAATCTACGGTATGGTAGGACACCATGGGTTTCATTTCCCAAGTCGAAACGACAAACTTTTTCATGCAAGCGTTCATACAAAAAATGCGCAATGTGTCTGGCCGAAAACGCCAGTGATACTGCGCCTCTTAATGTTCTGCAACATATGGTTCCAGTTATCTAAAATTCGTGGCTCTGCTATCACCGGGTTTATTGACCACCATACATACCAGCTAACCTTTGGGATTATCTGCTAGATATCCAACTCCTTTGAGTTTCATCTTCGAGTCTACGGTTTTGTTTTCTGGCTAACAAGGAAGTAGGTGCTAAGGTGAAATAGGTTTGAATTTCCGGAAGGGATTTTCAACTTTCAGAAGAGATTACTCCACAACCAAATAAGCTATTCGTGATCTTAGCACGTCAATTTGAAGGCTTTTTTAAGGAAAAATCTAATATGTTTGCCCACATTTGTTTTTGATATAGTTACTACAGTAAACAGGCTGATTACCAGCAGGTATCCAAATTTTCAAAAAATGGCTTATTTTCACAATGGGCGGGATTTTTTATTTCTTAATATTTTGGGCTCAAATTTTCACCACACTTTGGAAAACTCTTGTACTTGATGTAGGGCAAATGATTTGGACAAATAATTTTTGAGATAAGAGCAGATGAGTGAGAGGCAGTTTTGAGCTTTTCTGGTGAAAAATCAATGCTACCTATTTAATATATTTTTATTTTTTCTTGAATTCCTTCACGCTGATGGCACAATCATATTTTTATGTTATTTTTCACATGTTCTGGACAGGATTCTCAATATATGAAATCATAACAAAATGTGGGTACACCTATTAGAATTTACATTAAAAACCTTCAATTTGACGTTCTAAAATCACGAATAGCTTATTTGGTTGTGGAGTAATCTCTTACTGAAAGATGAAATTTTTAAAAATCTCGAAAATCCAGGGTTGTAGCCGAGACATATCTAGGCACTTCAGAGCAAAATCAAAAAAGGAATTTGTTCAGAATGCCAAAGTTTGGCTCAAATAGGTGACATCGACCACATGTGGTGTACCTACTTGAGCTGGAATGACCTTTGGATTCAATACAGCTTACTGTTAAAACTCTAAAAAAATATGCGTTATGTCCCATTTTCGATATTTTTAAGATAAATTAAACATATTACTTGTAATCTCTGTAGTGTTAACATGTGCGAAATGCTTTAAATAGGGTAAATGCAGGTAATGTCGGCCTAAGTGTCCTTAATTTGGACCCATACATAAATTCAGCAATCGACTAAATTTTCAATTGCAACCAAAAATATCTATTAGTAACGTCCCAATGACGCGTTCATCTAGATAAAATTGATAAATAGCAGATTTTTAGCGATGGGCCAATCTTAGATCCATAGGTCAACATTAGACACTTCTCCTATATCCAGAACAACATGTGAAAAGGGCATACAAGCTTTTTGTAAACAAACCTTTGTAGGCCCTTTTCTCACCAACCGAGGGTCGCCCACGCAAACCAGGAATATCATCGGTAAGGGGAAAGTGTCCCCTACCCGGTGATGTTAAAGGTTTGCGTTGGTGTCATATGGGTGGCGAGAAAAGGGCCTACAAAGGTTTGTTTACAAAAAGCTTGTATGCCCTTTTCACATGTTGTTCTGGATATATTTTATTTTTTTCGACATATGCGAATGAAGCGAGCAAGAGAAACAAAAGATTGAAAATTTGTTTGTAGACGATTGAGGTGCTATCATGAAGCTGCTCGACTTCAACAGAAAAAAAGAAAACTAGCCGTCTCTTCATCGCATCGATTTTGTCGATGTAACTGATATTGTGACGTCCTGGTTGTGAGCGCCAATTAAACGTAAAAAAAAACTCTATGAACACAAAGATTGGATAGGTTGTATTTATTTATTTTTTATTTATTCGTCAATCAATCAAATCGTAGACTATGGGGCTTATTACGGATATCACTTCACGGTGAAAACTTGTCACTTGTCGTCACGGTTTGATTTGTACGGGAATCACGGCCCTTATTCTGAGTATCACTTCCTTATCACCGTGTAGTGACACCCGTAATAAAGCCCTATGTTGTAGCAAGAGATATACGCTCTAGTGTGAACGAATTATAAGGGTGACTACAAAATAAACATTTGAAAAAAAAAATAAACATATAATATGCAGATTATGAGTGAACTCAGAATTGCTTTACCGAAACTGAACTTTTTTTTCAAGAATTTTGGGAAGACCACTTTCAATGCAAGTACCCTAACTCACCACCCACTCCATATAATAAGGAGTATTCGAAACTTTGTTCAACGACAGAGAAACTGATGAGGCATACACTTGATTTTGAAGATCAACTGCAATTTGTTAGTGATGCAGTAATGGCGTTCGGATATGCATTCAAGTAAACATAATTAATTGCAATTTACTAGATAAACATTAAAGACTTTTTTATTTTCCAGGAACATGCATCAAGAGCTTTGCAGCAGTAATTCAGGATTGTGCGATGATATGAATCCAACAAAAGGCGCAGATTTGTTGAAATATCTGCGGAAATCGGATTTTATTGGTCTAAGTGGTGATAGATTTAATTTCGATGTAAACGGCGATGGGCCAGCCCGGTATAATATAATACATTTTAAACAAATGGAACCCGAGAAATACAAATGGATCAAAGTAGGGGAATATTACCAAGGAGAGCTTCGTTTGAATACCGAAGGTAATTTTTATAAAACCTTTTTGAAATGTGTACAAATGAAAATGTCTGACAAGAAAAAAATACCTTTCCCGTGGTAGCATACCGAATGTTATCTTTTTTAAAATTCCCAAATGACTACGATAAATTCTCTTAGTTAAAAGAATTGTATTTGGGGAAATGGGGAAGTTTTCCAAAAACTGAACACATTCCCGGGGGCACTCGATATCACTACCATTGAATATGTTTTAGAATTCTCATGTGATGTGTCGCATGATGTGTTTGACACATTTCAGGATCTGGAATAAAAAAAAAACTGTATTCGCCGGAACATGATCCGGCCATATCTCCGGCATCAGTTGACCAATTCCAAACATATTCAGTAGTGTTCTATGGTACCATGATACATGATACAAGATAAATTACGTTTGTTGCGTCCAATTGAGTACAGTGGTCGTTCAGAAACTTATCGTACATTTCTAGTGTCACATTGCATTCTCCCCGAGGCTCCGAAAGTACCCAGAACATGCCTGGATGAGACCAATGCATTCATTGGCACTCAATATGACTACCAATGAACTTGTTGACTCAATATTTATAACTGGTCTAGAACCCTTACCATTACCGTTATACCGTTACCGTAGCGTCAAACCAATTGGAGTCAAGCGTCAATCTAATTGGAGTTAAGACCAGAATGCCAATTGAACGTGTGTGTTGTAACCCGAGCAAAGTCTAAGATCAAATTGAAATCTCAATTTGATGTTTTGATTTCGCTGATAATGATTACACAGGTAGCTGTCGTTTTGGTCGTTTTAACGGGTAAATTATCAAAATTGAGAGCATAAAATCTTCCTGTGACATCACATTGAAAACAATTTCTGCTATCAGTGAGAGCAAACTGAAAACTCAATTTGATATCAATTTTTCCTGTTGATAATAAAACATGTATGTAGTAGGTATAGCAGTTATTAGTAAGAAAAGTAAATTCTACCAAAGCAAGGTACAAGGTAAATCAAATGAGATCGGGGTAGTAATTACAAAGAAAAAAGGGTATGCGCAAATCTGTGTGTATGTAAAGAAAGCTCATAACTGCACGAAAATCGAAATGCTAATCTGAACCGGAAAACGATCGCCGAGGTTGAAAGCCAAAGTTCGGAAATCGTTTCCAGTACGAGAGTTAACCAATTCCGAATGAACGTGGGGTGAGAATGAGAGAACAGAATATGGTATAAGCGCCCATTACACATATCAATATATTGACATTAAATTGACATACTGACAATAATATTGAAAAGGTGATATTGAAGACGATAATTGATGGCAAGTATTGACGAAAAGCTGATTTTAATTTCATTTTGTCAATCCTCAGAATGTATTGACAAAAAACCGTAAATTTCGCCATCAATATCATCAATATACGAATATTGACAACATTAATGGCAACACGTTAAGCGCCCATTACACATGTCAATATATTGACAATAAATTGACATACTGACAATATTATTAAAAAGGTGATATTGATGATGATGATTGATGACAAGTATTGACGAAAAGCTGATTTTCATTTCACTTTGTCAATACTCAGAATATATTGACAAAAAAAAACAATCAATTCTATCAATATCATCAATATACGAATATTGACAACATCAATGGCAATACGTTTGAAGCCTTTTAACCTCAATGTATTAAAGTCAATATTACTTTCTTAGGCTGTGGTCCATTTGGTGAATTTTCACTTAAATTTGACACTTCGAAACTAAATTATAATGTTCGAAAATCCCTCTGTTGTTGATCGGCCAATTTTCGAGAAGGTGTGTGTCAAAATTGATTCCTTGTCTGTCAGATATAAGTCTGCTGGAATAGCAGGTTAATTTGGAAATTTTCCATCTGTCAAGTTTAAGTGAAAATTCGCCAAATGGAACACAGCCTTAATTTCCCCACACAAGAAACATGGATCAGCGGGTCAAAAGAGAAACGTCCTTACTGGACCTATGCACTGAAAAAGTTTTCATATAGTTTCCATTGGGAACGCATATGATATTTTTCCAATAACAAAATTAATGATTTTTATCTGAAATTCAAATAACGTTCATACGATCACATGAATTGTATATGACAAATCACATAAACTTCATTGGACACATAAGGTTCATGTGGTTTTGTGATGCGATTCCCAATTATGAGATCACATGAAAGTTAAGTGAAATTCTAATGGATATTTTCCATTGGAAATGTGATTTATTTTTTGAGTGTGGAAAATACTAACTACACACTGAATTCGGATAACCTGAGTCGGTAAAATTTTACCCGGTTTTTGAACTACTGAAAAAGTCGGTAAAATTTCAAATTACCGTCACTCGTAAGAAAACAATAAAATCGACACATTATCATTGAACGGTTTTAAATAGGTCCGTACAATTTCGTAATAAATTTCAAAATTGTTGAATTGGTTGGTACTAGAAATACTCAGAGGAAGAGATGGGCGGAGAGAATGTTTTGAGCCAAATTAACCGTCAAAATCTGAGCCAATCGAACATTCCCATTAGAATTTTTCCGAGGATTTCTTATTCTTTCTAGAATAAATTTGAAAGTATTGCAATCGAACAGAAATTCAATCCCCTTTATGTTTTGTGTGCTTCTCAAATTCAACTAGGTTTTGGAACCAAAAACAATACAAAATGATCTTCGTTGGTTAATGAATGGCACCAAGTAATGTGCAAAATATTGCAATGCAATCAATTATTATTTTGCATGTAAATCGAATCAAAAATAAAAGTCATTTGAAATGCTAGCTTCTAGCAAGGGTTGCAAGATAATTAAGGAACAAATCCTTGCTGCCGTATTGTATTTTGTTTTCTCCGCCTATCACACCCTCTGAGCATTTCTAGTTGGTACTATCCTTTCACTCCACTGAAAGTTCCAATAAGAAACTTTCAATGTTTGTTAGAAGATATGATTTCTCGACGGTTCCGTCAACGCCAATATCAAATGTTGTAACTTTTTGACAGGACACAGAAAATACACAGGACAACATGATAACAAATTAATGGAATTGAATCAAATCGATTGTCGACTGCGTGGAATTACCACTTGTGTTGAATAACCCACGTTCATGGTATGCAGTTTCCCATAAATAAACTATTATGCTGATGTTTTGGTAAACATTCCTAAAGGAAAAACTTGCATATATTATTGAATTTGCGTTACATGTGAAACGCAGATAGTATTAATTTTATTTTAAAGTAAAAAAAAACAAAATTACATGATTATGCTTGTGATTTTGTAGAAAATGAACATCGATATAGACGAAGCCTGGGTAGTGATTGGCGACTGTAAAAGGAAACTTTTTTTTATTTAGTTTGATATCCATTTTATATCACACACGAAGATTTAAACAAAATGCCAACACTGCATGCGTGAAGGTGCATTGTGAGTCAGACGTACGTTCTCCCTCCTCTTGGGTGGGGGAAGAATATTGAGAAAGTGAAATGAAAATCAGTTTTCAACAATACTCGTCATCAAACCATCGTCATCAATATTATCTTTCAATAATATTGTCAGTATGCCATTTTTTTGTCAATATATTGACCTGAGTAACAAACGCTTTAGTGTATTGTCATTAATGTTGTCAATATTTATATATTGATTATATTGTAAGGAAAATTGACAATACGATGTTTGTCAATATATTGACATATGTAATGGGCGCTATAGAGTAATCGGAACGAAGGTGAAGTCTATCAGGAAGCGAGTCTTTTTCGGATTAGAGAGAGATGGGCTAGAATGATGAAATTAGAATGATGGAGTGAGAAGACACCAAACCGAACTGGAGAGATTCGGAAAGGGGAAATTAACGAAGTAGCATACTCGACTTCGATTCGAGGCTAGCACAAGGATTCTGTTGGTTACATTTGGCGTTAGCAGACGTGTTTTTTGGAGCCATGGCGGGTAAACGGAAGTCGGCTGGAATAATGCCCTTGAAGCGGCACGACAATGTATTCAATTTGATGTTATGCTAATGCAATGAAAACAAACCCGCAACAACATATTTTGAAGAGCAAATGTACAGAAAAATGAAAACAAAATTTGGTATCAAATTTGTCAATTGCGTAAACTGAAATCAAATTATGATTTCAGTTTGATGTTGATATCAAAACTTGATTTGCTCAATTTGCTGTCATTTTGATGCTGGACTTTGCTCGGGAATCTTGTTTCTATGTATAAATTACACGTAGTACGTGTAGTTTTTTAGACAAGAAAATTTAATGCATCATTGTACAGTTTTCGCTAACCATCCAAGCAGGCGACATCGCCTCTTGATGTTGCCTGAAAACCCTGAACTTCAACATTGTCCACCAATAATTCCATCCATAGACAATTCAGCGATATCCTCGAGACCATGTAATGAGACACAACATTGGTAACATTGGTACCGTGACCAGGATTGTGCAAACCGTAATAAAAGTGACGCGATTATCTGATTTTAACAATCTCAGAATATCATACATTTGTGCGATTAAACCAGTGTACGCGAAGAGATGAACTAGCCATATGGTTGAAAATCTCTATAATAAAGACAAAAAAAGGTAGAAGGGTCTGTGCCTAGGGGCAAGAACGGAAGCTTGACGTAGGACCGCTTGTGGACGGAATAAATGTGAAGAGCATTTAGTTATTTTAATTGATCAATTATCTATTATCTCAACTCTTTCCATTTTTGAATTGTAGGCGTACCAAATTTGTAGTAATCTTTTTCAAAGAGAAAGTTGATTAAGAGAACCAATGAAAATCACTTGCACCCCTGCTTCCAAGTTTGGTTACAAGATTACAACTCTGGAGAGCATTTTGTGTGGTCGTTGGGGGCTGGTGGTTCTGAATATGGACAAACACAGATAATTTTTATTCCAACTCTTTACTGATGTAAGCTTGATGGCCCTGAAAAGGGCCGTTTTATTGTAGAGGACATCCATGGCCACTTACGCTTGGCGTGTTTAGTGTAGGTGACAGCATCACGGACCTCATTTTTGAGGAACACCTTCAGCACACCTCGTAGATCAGACCGGAGATACGTTTGCCACCACCACGGCGAGCCAGACGGCGGCCACCACCACGGCGAGCCAGATGGCGGTTATCTCGAAGAACTTTGCGATGACGCTTGGCGCCTCCTTTAGCAGACCTTTTCCTCCTTTGCCACGACCAGTCAATTATTGCTTGTTAGGTGTGAAGGAGTGGACAAGCCACCACCCTCCTACTGCTGCTATTGCTGTTCAACACGCCGTCTGAAGCGAAAATGAGCTAATGCCAT